GTTGAGACAACTAGCACCAAAACACATTTCAAAACATATTCCCCTAAAATAACTCTGAATCAATATTTATTCATCAAAACGGATAGTAACATAATGAACCACAGATATCTCACCAAAAATTTTTGAAATAATATATATCTACGGAAAGTTATAGTATACCTACTTATGGTACTCGACAAAAATGCACAAAAATTTACTTTCGCCATCTGAAAAATAACAAATGTACCTTCGTATCTCCCTCACACAGTATGAGCGTGACCTCAACTGACGTTAGATTGGAGGAATTGGTCTCGCGATCCTTCGATTTTCTTCGATAAACTCTTTTGTTCGTGCAATTTTCCAATATGGCCACCGTGACAACCAACCCGTTAGACAACCATACCCGGTCTCCCCTACACGTTTTTGGGCTATTGATTTCTGATGTTGATACTTCATATAAAAACATCTTTGAAAATTATCTGTTCACCAGAGAAATTGCAAGTAGGTACTTATGCGAAGAATTCATTTCATGTCTGCCGTACGCCAAACAAGCATCAATGCGGTTCATTTGCTCGTAAATTGAGCCACAACCGCGAAACTAATAGCTGTCTACTACATTATAGGGTTTAATTCACATTAATGTCTATATTTGCATCCATAATAATTATTCAGGGGTTATTTGGTACGTTGTAGAACTATTAGTTTCGTACAAAGTGTTCGGGTAGCAAAACATGTTTTGTTGTAATGATTGTTCAGAAAGGAAATTATGATACATATAGATGGAAGAAAACGGTGAGGTTAGGTTATGATTCGTTCATTCTAAGTAATGAGAATTGGTGTATTTCGAGTTGAACTGAAAAAGTTGCCCTTTCTTCACTTTTTCTTTTTCTTTAAGAAGGTAGCATTTTTCTGGCGTACTTCCCGGACGAGGCCGAAAAAAATAATATGGTTGTTGTCATTGTAAATATGAAAATTTTGGTAGCGAAATAACGACTGACAGCTATTTAACATGGAATCAGTTGATATTTTAGTTTTTGAAAGTTTTCATGGTTTCTGTTCGCAATTATGGCAATAAGCTATGCAAAGTAGCAGAAATAGTGAGTTTTAAAATGTGCCTAATGAAATTTTCAATGCTGCAGCTGCTGCTAAAGCACAATTATTGCGTAAAAATCAAATTTAAGGTACTAAAACGTTCATGATTCGTTCTAGGAATGGATGGATATGAATATATGCAAAACTATTACAGAGGATGTGATTTTGTCTCATTTAGCGCAAAAATCTGAAACTGTCAAATTCTCCATTTTGTGGAGCATGTACTCTATGTTGGAAAGAACCATTTCAGTGAAGAAAAATACCTAGCAGTTTCCCAAAAGGTTATCGCATATCTCAAAAGGAAGAGTGTTGGTTGTAAAGTATTGAAGTCAGAAGTTTTCAACAACGAGCAGATCAAAAAATTCATTAAAAAGCAAATTAAGAAATGTATATAATTCTGTAGGTGTCTTTAATAAAATAATACTATTGTAGAATATAAAAGTATTGATTTAATTGGCTTTATTTACAGGTAGACAGAAAGAACCAACAAAAAAGTCAATTGATCCAATAAACGACAAGAAAGACATTCTACAGTGTTATCGAAAAAATAGTGTATATAATAGCTTTTTGGATTCGCAGACTTTCAGGACTACTGCTCCTTCTAGAATTTTGTCTACTCGTCAAAAAAACAGTATTTTGATAACTACATGATTTACTACAAACTCTATTAACATATTTTTCACGACTGATTCGAAACAGGGAAAAAAAGGTTTTTCAAAGACACTCATTTCGGAAACCAATACAATATCTCAGTACCAACTGCATTTTGCTAAGGATAACTTCAATAAAAGTGCCTCTAGAATTCATATCAAAATTGGAAAATGGAAAAGAAGATAGCCAAAAACCTTCCTTTCATAAAAAGTAAGCTCTTCTTGAAATATACCTCTTTTGAATCAAAATATTTCTTCAACGATTACTGATTTCAACAATGTTTTGGGTTTCTAGGAGTATATGATTTCGTTTCCATTTCATTACCGCTCCCAATTAAAAAAATATGACCCGCTAATGTGATGACCTAAAATAAATGTGACTGTTGCTTTTTTGTCATCCATTCTAAAAACATCGTATCCTAGTCTGAAATAAATAAGACTATATATCGAATGGAAAAGAAATACCAGATAAGAAATGAATTTTCAAGAGAGTAAATACCACAGGTAAAAAAGTTAAATTGAGCCATTGCGGCGACTGCCTAGAGACCCCAGAAATATTCATTCCAACCCAGACCCCTGGCAAAGAAGGAACTACGAACTATGATCGACTTTTCATGGTGTCCGATAATTAATGATATGCTCATTCAGTACTCATAAAGCTATTCTGGGTTAAAATTGGCGTTCAGTGAAACAATGCCATCTGTTGTCATGCGATCAGACCAGGGATACCAGCGACGTACTCTGATATAGAAACAATTCCTTTTATTTTTGAAATTCACTGAAAGTGAATGCCCCAAGTTACGATTTTGACTCAATGTCAAAACATTCGTCAGCACTTCAAATTATGGTTATGCAAATAATGTTATATTCTAATTTTCAACTCCGATATCGGGCAATTTAAATTTTCCAGCATGAGTAACATTCAAGTTTGAAGTTGCAATTTATAATCACGGTATATAAGTGTCCACATTTTATCAGTTGTGAAAAAATTTTGTGTAGATTAAAAAATTGGAACTGTGGAAACTTCTCAATAAACAATATTTAAACTATGTGAACCATCAAACGGCCTTGTTCAGTTAGTTATCTTTCTCTTCAGAGTATTAAGTGCAAGGTTCAATAAAAATTCCCCCCTCTCTCTCTCTCTCTGATCAAGCGTAAACGTCAACTGTTTTGTCATCCTTATCCACTTATTCCACGATCAAAGAATGCATGCGTATTCTTCAATAGTTCATACTGTATACCTATTCAATTTCTTTCACATTGGTTATCAGGTAATCATTGGTTTAACAGGTAATCATTCATATGAAGAAATATAATACAATAACAACATAAAAAGTAACGAATACTAAAATTTTTTCGCAGATTGAGGTTTAAAAAACCTAAAATGACTGGATTATATAAGCGTTCAATTCCTTTTATATGCGTTAACAGGTAATCATCGATGTAACAGGTAATCATTGATATCAAGAAGTGAAATTCAATAACAGCATAATACAATAATCAATACTTAAAATTCAATGATGGATATGAAAGTTCTTAAAAAAATTCAAGTCAACTTTTTATAATGCTTACTTGGTTAGTGAAAAGCGCGTCGATGGACAGTATTTTTGTTCAGGTGTGGAAAGAGTTTCCAACATAGTTGCTAAATGGAACAGGAGTCGTGTCTTAAGTTCCATCAATTCAAAACGTTTTCAATTTACGTGTAAAAAATAAAATGTCTGAGATATTCAGATCAATATATCAAAAACATTATTACAGACGAAGTCACTGATAAGCGAATTTTCCTTCTTCAATTCCACTCTGGAATTATGAATTTTCATTCCTGCTAGGGAACATCATAATTGGGAATTTGGAGTTCACGCATTTACATTTCGTTATAAGCTATATTCGAAACAGTGAATAGCACTCAGCCAGTTTGAAACTTTGATTTCGTTTTAATAGAGAGTCCATCGATTTTAATTTTCGGTAAAATTCAAATGAGCTCGACACGTATGATGAAAGTATTTCCAATGTGGAGATTGACAGCCAGATAAAATTGAACTATGTCTCCTGATGATCGAATTGAACCCCACTGGAGTTGTTTTTGAATATCCAATTATTCATTTAGTTATTGAGTCGTTTCATTTTATGCTATCAACATCAAATCATTTCGCTAGATAAATCGTAACCGACACAATTGCAAATTTTTGTTTTGCTGGTTTTTTGGAATGACTCACAACAATTCAAGTTTCGAGCCGCTCCGCACAGGTGCAATGTTGATACTAAATATAAAATCACCAACCGGAAACATAAGGACATGGAGAAACAGCGATAAAAAAATAATTTTGTTTAATCAACGGGTCTTTTCTCCTGCGGCTGCCTCTGCAGTTGGAATATTTAGCAAATCTACCTTAAAAAACGAACCTACATACAAAATTTCACCCCTCGAAAATATACTGGTGAAAATATATTGGTGAACAGTGATGAAAAGATAACTTCATTTTATGAACGAACCTTTTTCCCCGCGCCTGGCGCCCCAGTTGAGATATTCAAAAATCTTTCCTTATCGCATGTCTAAAACATAAAACGAACCTACATACAAAATTTCAACCATCGAAAATATAGCGGTACGAAGAAAACAGTGATGCATTCAGCAATGGGCACAAGTCTAAATGCAGTCCATCTAGCCTCTCTGTCCAGGAAAATGTGAAGAGGAAGTAGATCTAGAAGGATATCCATGGCCGCTATCTGTGATACTGATACTTATGTGTGATACTTATGGCATCACAGAAGGACAGACAATCCTGCCTCTGTAAGCCAGAGAACTTTGTCTGATCCGTTTTTTGTAAAGCCCTCGGAGATCTGGCAATTGCTTCATAAATCCAACTGATTCGTTTGGGACCTGAACCTCAAGTTCTACTACAAATTTTTAAACAGACTGGATTTGTGTTAAACTTTTTCCAAGTGAACAATTCAGGTGAGTTTTCCATCAAGAACAATGCCAATATATTTTACCTCCGTTCCAAATGTAATGACCTCACTATGGAGGGAATGCGGCGCTGAATCGCCCAATTTGTTCCTTCTAGTGAAGGGGATTACCATAGTTTTGTTTTGACAGACATCTGCTCCCTCTGCTCCCTCTGCTCTGACGTGGACCTTTCCAAAATGACAAGGTCATCTTCATAAGCTTACATATCTACTTCTCTCCTGACGCGGTTATCAAGCAGACTATTACCTCCACAAATGCCCCACCAGTTTTTCAACAGTGGAGACGGGAGTGTGTATAAAGAAAGAAGAAAGTTGTAAATTAATTTTCGAATATTTTATTGATGATCGTTATGGGAAAGAGAGCGTTGTTCAAAAATAAAGAAAGACAATAATTTTTTCAACAATAATAAAAGGTAAAGAAACATTATAACGAAGATTGTCAGTTCTAACTTCCGTGATCAATCTACAAAATTTGATTTATTCACAAGGAAAAATAAATGATATTAAAATGAAGGATTTTGTCACAATAATTTCTTCGTTGTCTAATTCAACTAATGTATGCAATTCAACTAGTATGCATACCGTCGGTTTACAGTTGCTTAAAGTTTTAAGTAGCAAAGTTTTAAAATTTCAACACAATACACTAAACTAATATAATTGATACTAAGTGAAAGTAGATACTTTTCAGCTAGATGAAGTGGGTTGCGCAGTAACGCTGACAGTTTTGGTAGTGATGGTACTTCTGTGATGCCAATACGTCCCGTTCAGACCAAAATGAACGATAAAAAGGAACGATATTACCTTCTTTGAGACATGAGGCTTACGATCATCCACTTTTATGTCGCTACCAACAGTGGTGAGTCATCTAGGAGTCCAAGAAGTGGAGATCAACCGCTATTCTCAAAGTTGGGCGTTATCAGTTAGCAATGAACAGGCAAATGGAAAATGAAAGCCTAAAAATTCATACATGTCTGAACATAATTTTTTGCAAGCAAGAAGGTCGTATCAATAAAAAAACAAAATGTTTGCTCATACCTGAGATGGAGTGTGGCCTTTTGAGATGTCCGAGTTCTTCGACAAGGTAAACTTCAATTTGAAAGTTTCGAGTAATTCCTACATAAATCCTACGACAGTAGATAATTGATTATCTCCCTTGAGATAAATCAATTGTCGATTCATGAATACTTTGAAACCTTCTTTCAAATCCGCAAAATTGCGATGTTCTTCCCGTGTCTGGTCCAAAACCAAGAAAAGAAGGAAGATACGTTTTCTTTCTGAAGTTTCCAGATGTCGAAATGACATGAACTGTCATAAAAGACAGATGAATTGTTTGTAGAAAAAAACGATATCTTGTGAATCTGCCGATTCCAGCAAAGATACAAAGACTTGTTTCATATTCCTAGCATATACAGGGTCATAATAAATCGTAATACGAAATGAAATATTTTTGTTGTATTTTAAGTAAACTATGGACATTATAAGATCTACTGGGGGTTTATTGAAAATTGAGGTAGTGATTTTGAAACCGTAACACGACCATCGATCAGGAGCGGCCACAGAAGGGGAGATAGTACCCCACCTTGAGGGCAGCCCCTGGTGACCCTGAATCCAATGGCCTCGTCTTGTGGAGTTGTAGTTGCAGTTTTGTTTACCAGCAAGGCATAGGTCCAGCGAGTTATGGTCAGTTATATGCCTTTTCCAGCCAGGATTGATCCTATAGTGCATTATCAAATGCTCCTTCAATATCGAGGAATACAGCAACCACAATCTCCTTGTTGTCAAGGAATTGATATGCATACTGGTGGTTATCCAGGTGTTGTTACATATAAAGCCAGCTTCCTGCTATGTCCGTCCACTATTCTCTCAAGTCCTTCCAACAAGAAGGATGTAAGGCTGATTGGTCCTACCAACTGGGTCTGGGAGGTATGTAGTTTCACACCAGACTAGCTCTATAGAATTTTTTAAGAATGGGTGAAATTATTTCCAGTTCGTTTTTAAGGAGAGCTAGAAATATATCATCCTCTCCTGGAGATTCGAAGGGCTGATACGACTTGATAGACCATTCAACTGCCGTTGCTATGATCACCTTCTTGAGAGCCTTTTAATCGCTCTTTTCAGGGCATTTGACGCCTTCAAAGAAGGGAGGTCTATTGTTATCAAGAGTTCGACCTCCAGGAGAGTGGATTTCTATCGAAAGCTCTAACGTTTCTTATCTAGAGGTCGTAAATATTCCATGAGGTCATTTTAGTGACCCGATTTCAGCATTCGGCTCTTTAGAGAGCCGAATGTGAATTCTTGTGCTGCGAGAGAAATCAGATATATTCTCACAGAACTTCTTTTCTGATGACTTGGAAAAGATTAAATTTAATTTCATCATATCGGTAAATAATGTTAAACCGAAATATTCGTCAGATTCTACTGAATCTCAACTACATTCAGCGGATCACGATTGACAGAAATCGCTGCCTCGAGAATTCTAGTAAATTTTATCGCTACAACCACCGAATACGTGACCTGTGAACCTTCTCTATAATCAAAGCTCTTACGCCATTATAGAACTTGAAATTCACTTTACGGATACGAGTGTTACTTTCTAAGAAAACTCAACAAGTCGCATTTCACGGAGACACGATTCGATATAATATTGACAGTTGAAAAAGAGGTTTTTCGGTTGGTGAATTCATTCATCAATAATAACTTCATTGAACTTCAAAAATATTCATTGAAAAGCATTTTGCAGAGGAGTCAATGCTTTTGATACTCTTCAAAAACATTTCTTCGAAATCACTCTTCCGTCAACCAGCTGTCATTCCTCAGGAACGACAATCCTCAGAAGACAAAACTTGTGCGAGCTTAGGGTTAACGCGGTCTCATGTTTCATCTTGCGATTTCTATCGCGCTTGAAGATGAGTGACATTGATCGAAATAGTTTACCATTTCTTAGAAGCGAATGAAAACTGGACAAATTTTTATTGCAGAAATATCACGTTTAGGTTATATGTATTCTGAGAGAGTTTCTAAAACTGAAATGTGAGTGAAATTCAATGAAAATTGAAAGTAATGAACTCGCAGTGTTCGTTCACATGCAGCGTTTTCAATTTTGAATAAAGAAAGCTTGAATTAAATTCCGAAAGGAACAAGTTTCAGAATTATTACATACTATACTCGCAAAGTATTGTATTGCTCCATTAAAGTCAATGTTCATCGATAAAAAATTTCAACGAAACACGTATTTAAATTCCTGGAATTCACGAACTTTAAATTTTCACCATTCTGCAAATGCGCAGACTGGCAGTGTGGACTATTGCTATTTAAATAACTTTGTATCGAAGTTTATTTTGGGATAATTACACCTTTTCGAACATTTTTAGACAGTATCAATTTTGTTGGATATCCTCTATAGGTTTATAAAAAAGATTGATTTTATCTCATGGAGAAAAGCAGATTCGTAGCTGCTGGAAAAATGTAAAAAGTCATCAGAAAAAATAGAGTAACAGAGTAGGAAGACGAAAATGAAAAACTAATGTATAGAAAGATATAAATAGTTTTTACTTGAACATATAACCACTGAATATGAGAATTTCTAAAACAGCAACTTCTTGAATTTTTGATATATCAAAACTTTCAACAGAATATAAATTGATGAAGAGAAAAGAGATGTAGTTTTTCATTCAAATTCCGAAAATCCGACGACATCAAGGTATTTTCCAAAATAGCGTATGATTACGAAAATAAATCCTTATTTAATCAAATCACCTATTTTTTTCTTTATATTAAATGTGTCACTGTGTCACATGTGTCACTGGAAAAAAAGTTTGTTGTGATATTGTGTAATAATAATATTCTCGTTCATTCCTATTCTATCATATATCACTTTTCTCCTAGAATTTTTTTATATGATATTAGAAGTTATTTCTTGATACACAAACTGATAGATGATGAAGGACAGATGATGAAGGACAGATGATATATAATAGATGATAGATAATAGATGATGATAGATGATAGATGAAAGGTGACAGATTATAGATGATAGATTGATGATGATAGATTATAGATGACATATGATATATGATAGATATATGATAGATATAGATGGATGATAGATGATAAATGATAGATGATATATGATACTTGATAGATGATAGATGATGGAGGATAGACGATAGATGATAGACGATAGAAGATAGACGATAGATAGATAGATGATAGATGATAGATGATTGATGATTGATGATTGATGATAGATGATAGATGATAGATGATAGATGATTGATGATTGATGATTGATGATTGATGATTGATGATGGATGATGGATGATAGATGATAGATGATAGATGCTAGATGCTAGATGATAGATGATAGATGATTGATGATAGATGATAGATGATTGATGATAGATGATGATAGACGATAAACGATAGACGATAGATGATATACTTAGTTTGTATTCCAAACCTTTGTTATGGAATTGAATCACATATAACTTACAGGATTGCTACATAATATAGTAAATGGAAGAGATAAAATTTCACTTACATGGAACACTGTCGGCCCCACTGGTAGATATCCGATGTTTCGCCGTAAAACACTTGCCTTATGGGCTCTTTAGCACCAAATCTGGATTTAATTATGAGAAGAGGCACTCAATTCATTTATAAAATCACGACTTTATGTCAGGAATGAGTTTAACTCGCGTGTGTGAAGACACGCCTGAAGAAACCATTGCATGGCGAAACAGGTGTTGCGTTTCCGTAAAACTGGTAAAAATCTCCCGATGGAGTATTTTTTTCAAGTATCTGCCGAATCTATCAAATGTATGAAAAAATATGGCAGATTAGATTAGATTTTTCAAATATTGTTTTCCAACACGAACTTCGATGATAAAGGTATTCAATATCACTAGTAGCATTCAAGTATCTGCCTAATTTTCGTAACATAGAATTTTCACAATTGAAAATAAACGTATTTTTCACCATTTCACAGAAAATGGTGGTCACACAAATTGCGCTTGCAATGCAATATTTATTACTGAATATTTGAAGCACAAAAATGATGAACATGAAACATTCCCAAACGAACGTCTTTCAGATGATAATCATATACTCATAATATATAAGCCATATTATAAGGCACCAAAATGATTGATCTTCTTTCATTCTTGCAAAGACGTCTTCAATATCTCCCTACAATAAGTTTCATCTTCCAATAGTCATTCGTTTTCTGTTTGTATTGATATGGAAATAAAACATTCTCTTTTCAACGCGGACAACAATTGAAAAATATGTTGTGAGTACAGTAGAAAGTGTATTTTGATGCACAGAAGATGTGTAATTTCACAAATATATACAGGGTCACACCAGAGGTATGAAAACATGTAGGTATTCAAAATTCATGACCCTGTAGTATATCTTGTATATCTGTGATTTCAGTTGTTTCAGGTTCTTACCAATATGTAGATACAGGGAGAAAATGTTGCCCAGTACAAATTTTGCTGTTAGATATTTCCATATCCCACATGAAAATTGGATATCATAATTGCAGCACCCTCGAGCTACAGTAATCATGCAATAGAAACAATGAGCAGGTAATCAATTTGTGATTATTCAACTCACCGAAATCAAAATATTCGAAATGTTGCCCAATGCTCCAAAACAATCACAATGAAAATGCATAATACAAAAAGGATTACCGTTCGTATATTGGAATTCATTGTAATGAATATTCACTTCAGCCGTCCAATTATTGATGGGTTTATTCCCGATCACGGCGCAGATATAGTAATTATAAAATAGGATTGGAACTCTGAACTTGGTTTCGGGATTCGTTATCTACAGTAAATTCAATTCGATGAAGCTGGAAATCCAGAGAGCACAGGCTTGAACGGTTTTGATTAAAAAATAATGGTTTTCGCATTTTGTGTTGAATTTGAAGAGCACTCAAAACAACGGAATCATCAGCTAACAAATGAAACGTCGTGAAGTAGTTAGGTTTGGAATTATTTTTCCTTATTTCCAATTATCCTTCATTTTTTATATTCATTCATCTTTCGCCTTCCTTACTGCATTTTCAATTACATTACTCGCAATTATTATTAACATTTCGATTAGTTTTCAACCCATTTATTATTTCACTATTTCATACCTTTTTTCTTCCTTTCCAGAATATATACTTATTCACGTAATGAATCTGAATATTTTGATGGTGGTATCTAAGATTTTTTCTATTTTCAATTTTTGTTATTCCTCATCAACCCTGGAGTGTTGGTGCTTTCGCCAGAGGGTGCGTCGAAGTTTGTGTGCATCAGTAA